ATCATGCAGAGAGTCACCAGGAAGGACGGGATGCTCCAGACCACATTGACTGCAGGGAGGATGCTGATGCTTCATCCACCCGATATTTGTACCCAGTGGTTACCAGTGGTATCTCCCCAGCATTGTCCTTCCGAGCACTGACAGCCAGCACGCAGCGGGAGCCACACGTAGCAAGGAACACACTCCATAGGAACAAATATCCCAACAAAATGGGAAAAGAGTTGAGCTTTAAGACCTGATCATGGCCTGTAGTGATAGGACAGGCAGGAGACTGGGACTCATGGGACACAGGGAGGAAGGGAGCAGGCAGCTGGTGTCAAGCTGCCTGAAGCAGAAAGGTATTTCAGGTCCAGAGATCATTGCGTGAATGCCTTGGTAGCTTCTGGTGCTGCAAATCGGGGCTGATTACATCGAGGAGGGTTATTTGCAGGCTTAGCCCCCGGCATTCCTGCAGAGGAATGGTGCCGCAGGCCTGACCCTCCTGGTATTAGATGAATTAGTTACTATTGAGGTTAATGCCAGCTCAGGCAGCCGGGAGACTAGCCCTGCTCCACTCTGCTCCTCGCTTCTCCCCCAAGCTCCCTCTGGCCTGGGCCATAAAAAACTTTTGGCTGGGACGGAGATGGGGCTCCTGCTGCACAGTCCAGCGCTGCCCAGTACCACCAATGGTGGAGACCGTAGGAGGGCAGCTCCTGAAAAAACAGAGGGCAAGACGGCAGGAGAAAGCCATGAGAGACAGGATAAGCTTTCCCCAACAGCATCCTGTGCCCAGCCATGCTCTGCTGCTGAGTGAAACACCACCGAACGGGAGGCGCATGAGGCTTGAGTATTCCTGGTCCCAGGGGACAGCCAAGCAGCAGGCTCCTGTGCCGGCTCCTGTCGAGCAGAGCAGAACAATCCCAGGAAGTGACTGGGGTGAGGGGACAGGATGCAGCGCTGGCTGCCACCCAGCATTGTCTTTCTGGATACCTGGGGAATGAAGTCAGAGCCCACCTTGCTGTGGAGGAGCCTGGAGCAGGGAGCAGCAGCCAGGGAAAGGAAACACAAGCCCCCTGATCACAGGCATCCAGCTCAGTCTCCACCTGAGTGGAGCCCTCAGCGAGGACCTGGAGGAGCTTTTCCCCCACAGGGAAGAGCTTCTGCCTAAGAGCTCATCTCAGTCTTGCCTCTGGCAGGTTAAAGCCATTCCCCTTGGCCTGTCCATACAGGCCCTTGTCCAAAGCCCCTCTTCAGGTTTCTTGCAGCCCCTTTAGCACTGGGAGCTGCTAGCAGGAGGGCCTGCAAACACAGGGAGGCAGAGGCAACATCTGCCCAGAGGTGATCCCTGTGTGGGGGCTATCAGAGCGGTTTCTGGCTGCACTCCATGCAGTAAGGGAGGGAGGTGCCTGGTTGCTACCCCTGTGTGGTTACAAGCCACCTCCATGCCCCAGCCTGGTCATTTGGGTCCCAGGACAGCAGGAGGTCTCCTCGGCACCCTGGCATTTCAGCTGCGAGGAGGGTGATGGGAGCCACTGCTGGAACAGTGCCTACTCCACAAAGCAAAGCACCAGCACGACCCCGGGCAGCTGGGTTTGCAGCTGGGCTAGGAGGGAAGGTGCAAGCAGGAGGCACGAGAGGTTGCTGCGCTTTGGTTAAGCCACTTCCGTGCCCAGCGAGCACTGCTCTGCTGCTCGGGAGGAGAGGTCCCGGCAGGCTGCAGACCTCAGCGTGGTGAACGCATGGCTTGGGGTGGTGGCAGCTCTGCTGGTGGCGCTGTACAGGTGCTGTGCCCCTGCTCCAGCCCAGCAAGGGCTGGGTTCCTCCTCCGCTGACCATGGTAGTACTGGGGCTGAATCCCAGCCTGCTCCCCAGCCAGCCCAGACCAGCCACTCGCACCTGATGCTCCAGTGTTCCCCGGGAGCACAGCTCAGAGACTGACCGTTCCCAGGTCCTCCAGCTCCCAGTACCCCCAGAGGGTGGGTTCCCACCCTGGCAGGTCCAAATCATCCTCAAGACTCTGTAGAGCCCCACACAAAGTCCATTCTGACCCTGCTGCTCCTTGGCCCTGGCCCAGCCTCCTCCAAGCTGCTGCTGAAAGAGGGGCCCAGGGGAGGAACTGACGTGCTGCAGACGTGCTTGCTCGTGATTAGTTTTGCGGTCTCTCCACTGCACGTGCCCTCAGGGGCCACCCAGCCCCTTCCCACTGACCACCTCCAGCAGTCTCAGCTCTCCCTGCTCGTGGGCTTCCAGCCACCCCATTACTGTGGTTGGGATACAGTGGTCCTCCTGGGCTGCACAACAGCCCTTGGATAACTGTACCCCGGGGCTGGTGGATGCTGCAGCCCCCATCTGAGTGCCCAAAGTGCTCTGTGCAACCATGAGCACAAGTCCATCCCAGTGGGGCTAGGCTGAGCATCACCACTGCTGCTGCTGTCGGTGCCAGACAGTGCTGGTCTCAGGTCCCGTGTCACCCACACATAGCACCAGCACTATGGGGTGCCTGTTGCCAGCCCAACTGTGCTCCCAAGGAGCTGCCGGCAGCTCCACCACAGGGTGCAGGAGGTACCACGAGTGCTGGAGAGGATCCTGCACAACACAGTCAGTTCAGCAGCACCCACTCAGCCTGCCCGTGGTGAGGAAACCAGGGTGAAGCCCAAACCCTTCTCTTGGCAACCCTCACAACAAACAACCCCTCTGAGCGGCACCGGGTGCTGTTCTGCTGCAGGGGTGTATCAGCCACAGCGGATCTGGGGCTCTACCGTGTCGATACTGCACCTCTCAGCCACATTCCTGCGCTGGGGCGATGGAAAGGGACAACGTGTGGTCCCCCAGCCCAGCACTGAGCATCACCATGACCCAGTGGAGGCAGCAGCGAGGGGTGGACTGGGACTGGCCTGTTAAAAGCCTCCTTCCCACAGTGCTGGCGAGGCTTTTGTGATGCCCTGAGGCAGAACGGGACCATGGCGGAATAAACACGCGTCAGAGCAGAGCGTGAGGGCAAACCGCCTGCACCAGTGACTCAGAGGGGAAATAGATCCTGGTGACATGGCGGTGGCTGCCACCACCCATGTGCATGGCAGGGACCGTCCCCACGGCTCCTGCTGCCCTCACCCCCGTGCTGTGGGCTGAGTCTCCCCGGGGGGTGGCGTGCCAGCCCCCATGGCACACCTGAGCATCATGGGCAGATCTCGGAGCATCCCCACCACCCCATGTCCCACCATCCTGCTCTCACCCTCATGTTCTGGCTGCTCAATAGGACCGGGGTTGCTGTCTGGGAGGCAGATCAGAGGCCGCATTATGCAGCATGGGGAGAGAGACAGTGGAAAGTGTCCGCAAGCGTGACCTGCCCTGCACCTGGCTCCTGCCCTCGCTCTCACCTCCTGACTGTGCGGGATCAGTGCGTGCTCAGCAGATCCCTGATGCAGCACTAAGCCCCAGGCTGGCAGATGAGGTGACCAACACCTTCCTGATCAGCATGCCAGGAGCCAAGGGGTGAGGGAAGACACTAAAACCGTCTCATTTCCTGCTCAGGCGGTTGCAACAGAGTGATACGTGGCCCTGCTCCACACAGACATCACAGGGAAGGAAGGGATGAGCAGAGCACCACGTTCCTCCTCTCTCTGAGCTCCTCCCAGTCATCTCAGTGCTCAAGGGGAAGCTTTTAGAGGGGGGAACCTGGACAGAGCATCCCTCAGAACCACCCCCCTCCGCTGCCCCTGGGTCCGTCTCATGCCTGGGCATTCTCAGCATCTCCTGCCTGCCCCAGAGCCACCCAACTGCAGGGGCACCCAGGATCCAGCCAGGCAAGGGGCTGCAGACCCCCCTCCCCTGGGGACTTGCTCCTGGGGCTGCTTCGAGGGGCAGTAACCAGAGGAAGCATCACCAGGGCACATCCATCAGGAACTGGGACCCTTGGAGCAGCATCACCCACCACAGCCTTTCCCAGCACTCTGGGAACAAACCCACAGCCCGGCTCTGCATGAAGGAGCCCTGTTTGCCTCTTGTTTCTGTAGGTGAACCAAGAAATACTCCCTGTAATGCATCTTTAGGGTAAAGTAGGTGGCTTTTGAGCATCAGCAGGAGCAGAGCAGGTCCCACAGCACCACAAGCACAGGTCCCCAGGGCCAGCAGAGCAAGAGGAGCAGGCAGTGGCTCATCTGCCCTAGCACATGGAGGTAAAAGGGATGGACTGCCCTCCTCTTGCACCTCCACACAGTCCAGGAGCCAAAGCCATGTGATGGGACATCTGAGGAGCTGTCAAGGCTACTTGTCCACCTTACAGCTCCTGATGAGTCTCCAGTGCAAGGCTCCAGCCCTCCCCTCCTGCTCTGCATCGGGGTCCAGGCTGGCTGGGTCCATCCCCATTACAGCAGCCAAGCTTCCTGAGAGCTCCTGGGGCTGCTCCAGGGAAGCACAGGCTCGGGTTTACCCACAGCAAAAGACTGGACACACACAGAAACAAGCAGACGCTTCCAAACCCTTCATACAAACACATCCCCTGTACAGCCACAGCCTTTTTACACTATTTACAGCAGCAGCCAGGGCACGGGCAAGGGCCGGGCTTGAGGCTACTTGTGCAAAGCAAAGGGCCAGCACTGGTTGTTGGTGCCTGTGAGACATCTACCACGGGAAAAGGCTTCTCTGACCCAGGAGGTGACACCAAATTCTTGCTGACGCATTGCACGCTCATCTTCCTCAGAACCAGCCAGGGTTCTCCTCTGGCTTCAACAGTGGCACAGACCCCACTGACCCCCCAGGTCACAAGAGATGGGCAAAGCCTGCAGTGCTGCATCCAGCTTTGGGGGAACAGTAAGAGAGGGATGTGGAGCCGCTGAGCGAGTCCAGAGGAGGCCATGGAGCTGCTGCGAGGGCTGGAGCAGCTCTGCTCTGGAGCCAGGCTGAGAGAGCTGGGCTGGGGCAGCCTGGAGAAGAGAAGGCTCCTGAAGGGGAGACCTTAGAGCAGCTCCAGTGCCTCGGGCTGCAGGGAACCTGGAGAGGGGCTTGGGACAAGGGCCTGTAGGGACAGGCCAAGGGGAATGGCTTGAACCTGCCAGAGGGGAGACTGAGCTGAGCTCTTAGGCAGGAGCTCTTCCCTGTGAGGGTGCTGAGGCGCTGGCACAGGGTGCCCAGAGAAGCTGTGGCTGCCCCATCCCTGGCAGTGTTCAAGGCCAGGTTGGACACAGGGGCTTGGAGCAAGCTGCTCCAGTGGAAAGGGTCCCTGCCCGTGGCAGGGGTTGGAACTGGATGAGCTTTAAGGTCCCTCCCAACACTCAGTCTGGAATCCTCTGTGATCCTCCACCAAGAGCTCTCCTCATTTCTTCACTGGCAGAGTCCTGAAGCAGTGGAGCAGGGTCCCCATAGCTGGGGCAGTCTGTGGTGGCTGGCACAGGGGGTCACCCTGCAGGCAGTGGGGCAGTAGGGGCGCAGAAGCAGAGGGTGTATCAGGAATACACGGGGCTCATCTGCTGCAGGTTCTCGTCTCCAAAGTCACCACCGAAACCACATCTCACATCTCTGCATGACAGTGAAGGGGGGAGAACATTGGTGAGATGGCTCTTGGGGGCAGGAGACTGCTGGTGCTCTGCACCCCTCCAGGCAGCACCAGCAGCAGGATTAGAGCAGAGACCTGCTGGGGAGCTCCTGCTCTCCTAGGAGGGCTCAGCGCCAGCAGCAGCAACACCTCCCACCTGCCACAACCCTATCTTGGGCACTGGGGAAAGGAACAGATGCTGGGAACTGCAACTTGTGGGGCCTGCCTAGAGGGAATTGCTTCATTTGGTTTAAACACAATTCCCTGCTCGGGCTGTCATCCAGGGACCCTCTGGGGAGGGAGCATCGCCTCTGCCTCAGCTTCGGCAGCAAGGAAGCTACCGGGGACCAGACCCCCATGGCAGGGCAGAGCTGCTGGGGATGCCAGTGCAGCATCACCACCTGCCCCGGCAGAAGACCAGGGCCTGGCTATGGGCTGGGATTCCCCCTCTGCCACCACAGACACCCTCGGGAGCAGTTCCTGCTCCGCACATACATAAGTTTCACTTCCACAGGCACATGTCAAGTGGTGCTTATCAAGTCCAAATCCTCCCTTTTCCTCCCTCCAGATGGGATATTTCCACAGAGCTGACTTTTTGCAGGCTGGGGAATGCCACAAGGGGAAAGCAGTTTTCCATCTGTTCACCGTCCCCCATAACAAAGAGAGCCCTCCATGCAGCAGTCAGAGAGATGCTGCAGGCAGGCCAGAGCCACAGGGCCTGCAAACCTCCCGAAGGTGCCAACAGCTCTGCAGATTGTGCTGTTTGGCACCTTTCTGCAGTGGAATTCCTGCCCCAGCTGAAAGCACTTGGAGAGGGACGGGGGGACATCCAGGTAAGCCCCCAACAAAAGAAAGGACAGAAGGATCCCACCTGCAGCCAGACCCAGGCTCTAACCCTGCAGCCAGAGCCTCGCTGGCAGCAGTGCTGGGCTAGGCTCTGCCATGCTGGAGGTGATGAAGAAGCCCCATCCCAGTGTCCTCCCAGCTGGCTCAGGGAACAGCAGGATCAGAGCTGTGTTTGTACCTTCCAGCACTTTATCCAGGTCTGCAATGAACTCCTCCAGCTCCTGCATGTCACCAAGCTTTGCTGGTGGAGAGAAATAGAGTCAGGTCTCTCCCATTCCCCAACATGAGAAAGATCCCTACCCTGTGCTTCCAAGCACAACTGCTGCAGCTGCCTGCTGTGCCTGTGCCAGTCAAGAGCAGTCTGAGGGCAGTGGGAGGGGGTTTGGGAGCTCCATCCACAACAGGGACCTGAACTGCACAGTTCAGTACTAGCCCAGCCACACACCCCCAGGCAGCTCCAGCATCACCCATTCTGTGACAGGATGCTCCTGTGTGCACACACCTCAGAGCTGAGAATGCTGTTGAAGGCAGCATGGGCAGGAGAACCCCAGGACTAACTCTGCCTGGAGACATAGCATTTCCTGCCCCAAAGCATACCCAGCAGGGCTCCACCAGCACCCCTCCTGGGGCCAGCCCATGGCTGTGGAGCTGAGACAAATGTGAGGGGGAATACCCAGCAAACAGCCCTTCCTTTGGACAGCCTGCTCAGCCTCACCTTTGGAGGGGTAAGCACTGGCCGGGGTGTTAAGGTCCTCCTCACTGCAGTTGAGGCTGCTTCCTGGGGACGTGCTGGTACCTGCAGTTGTGAAGTGTCAGTCACCATCCATGGCCACAGGCACCTTAGAATAAAGCTTCAGGGGCAGGGACTGGTCAAGTGCATGGCACCTGGCCCTGGTCCACCCTCACTCTTGGACCATCTGCTCTTCCCCTGCTATGAGGAATACTTGGGAAAAGGGAACTGAACTGCTCTGCCAGGTCCAACAGCACCAGAGGTTGCCTGAGCAGCCACGGGGACTCCTCAGGGTTATTATAATGAAGCAGCTTCCTCTGAGTTTCGGGTTATCTCAACCCTTGTGCCATTCTGCAGCAGCCAATGCAGCAAATGTTGGCAGCCCCTGGGTCAGGAAACCATGCCCACGATGGGCTGGGTGAGCAACTCAGAGGCAGGACCAGCAGGAAGCTTGGTAGTTTGCCATGGAGGTTTGCCCCAGAGCTCCCAAAGCTGCCCCATCCAGAGGGACACCATCCCCTCCAGGACTCCTCATTACCCAGCCGCGACTCACTCTGCAGCTCATCGATGCCGCTGTCGTACACCCTGGTCCCTGCTTTCCTCTTCAGCTCCTCCAGATGCTGCTCGTACTGACGCGTGGGGCCCCTGTCAAAGTCCTCCATCACCTCATCAAACTCCCGCAGCAGGTCACGGAGCTCGTCGGCCATCGCTGGGGACCAGAGGTCAGTCTGAGGCAGCACCAGCACACGGCGGCCCGGGGATGCTGAGCTCGGCTGCCCCGGTACCGGCGGGATCCCGCGGGGAAGACCCGATGGGGGCCCCGCTCGCACGTGGCGGGGAACAGGACACGGCCAGAAGCCGCAGCCGGAGCCCCGCGCTCCATCCGCTCCCGGGATGGGGGGTGGGGGGATGGAACGGGACGACGGCGCAGCACTCACCGTCGGGCGCGCTCCGGTCCGGGCGGCGGCAGCGCGAGTTCCGCCGGTCGAGGCCGTTTTAGTCCCGGGGCCGCCCCGGGTGCTGGGCGGAGCGTCCCGGAGCCCCCTCCCTGCGCACCGCAGCGTTGCCACCTATCCCCTTCCAGCGTGGGTCCGGGTGCGGCGTCTCCCCTGTCCTCCACGGCAGGACCAGGGATGACATATCCCCCCCCCCCCCCCGCCCCGAACTCACCTCGTCCCCACCTCCGAGGGTCCCGGGTGTCACACGGGGCCTGAGGACCTTGGTCCCGAGGAGCTGGGCGGCCTAAACCCAGCTACAGGGGTCCTCCCGAGGCGGGCAGCTGCCAGCAGCATCCCTCTGTCCCAGCCCTGCCTCCACCCATTCCTTGCCTCCATCCCACCCCAGCTCCCTCCTTAGTGCTGCTGGTCCCCCGCACGGTGGGATCCTGGGCCAGGCTGGCTTCTCCCTCAGCTGGAAATGTTCTTGAGATCTTTACAATTCCTGCCAGGTGCCCTTTTCCTTTCCTGCATCATCAGCCACCAGGATGTGAAGTCCTGTAGGATGTTTCCCCCTTGTCTTTGCTCTCCTTTAACCAAGCTCCACAGAACACACCATGTGTTCAAGGCCAGGCTGGACGGGGCTTGGAGCAAGATGCTCTAGTGGAAGGTGACCCTGCCCATGCTACAGGGCTGGAACTGGTTGACCTTTAAGGTCCCTTCAACCCAAACCAGGCTGGGACTGTATGAAATACTGATGCACACCCAGCAGTGCCAGCCCAGGATGCTTTTGAAGGAGAAAAAAGCCTGTATCCTTCTCAGGAAGTCATTCCTGGGTTCTGCCGTCACTTCTCAGTGCTGGGCTGCCCTCACGTGGAGCTCATAGCAGTATCCCCATTGGTAGCCAGGGCAGTTTCTAAGCCTTGTGATGTGTACAAAGATCCCACGGGGATTGTTGTATTCCCTATAGTAAGAATGACCACGTGCTTCCCCACAAGCCCTCTTTTGCCCATCACCTCTCATCTTCTCCATGTGATTCCATGAAAAAGGGAGTCTCTGCCACCTTCTAAGTACTGGAACATGGGGATAAGGTGCACCCTGAGCCTGCTTTTCCCCATCCTATGCAGGGAAGGCTGCCCACACCACCTGCTTTTTTCTTGGGTTCCAAATTCTTGGTGGACCTTGGTAACAGCTCAGAGAGATCCACCACGGAGGGCACAACTCATCCTCCTCAGCACATGACTGGTAACGGCCTGAGGCTGCCAGGACTGCCAGGAGGTGTCACTGCACCGCATGGGAACGGCACCACCACCGCTGGCAGTGGGCCGAGGAGCAGGCACCCTGACACGCCAGAGGCTGCCTGGGAGGAATGTGGATGGTCCCCAGAGGTGCAGCTCTTGCAGGTGGTGTAATCCTGTAGTATGTCTGTACAGGGCAGTGTGGACATGGTGCTGTTACACAGCTGGTGCTCGAGTGTGCTGGTGACCTCAAAACCTTCAGCAGGCTCATGGTACCCCGAGTTTATCTGCTCCTGCAGACCCAACAGCACCACACAGCTCCAGAGCTTATCACTGCTTGCGAGGCTCTCAGCAGTTATCTCTCAGCACATGCTCCTCTGCTGTTCTCTAGGAGCTGCTTCTCCACCTGCCCCAACTGTACCCACCCACAGGGAAGGGACCTTTTCAAACAACTCATCCCTGAGCAGTGCTGCTGCCGTACCCCGAGAGAGGGACCACCCATCAGCAGATGCTGCTGAGGCTATGGTGGGACTCATCCTCCTCCTCTCAGGAGAGTAGCACATGAATACTTCCACATCCACCACCAACCTTCTTGATGTTACAAATGTGGCCAAAGCCATCAGGCTTCTCCAGGCATTGATCCTCCTCCCACCACAACCCTCACCATCATCCTACCTGCCTGCCGTCTCTTCAACTGCATTTCTTTGGAGGCAAGATCTCAACTGTGAACATGACACTTTCCAACCCAAACCACTCCATGACTCTGTGATTCTGACAGATCAGCTACAAACGTACATTTGCACATAACCAGCCATGAATTCCAATGCCTGAGAAGTAGGAACAAACCAAACCAGCCATTTCACAGCCAAAGATCATGAAATGACACCATAATGTGTAAAATACATCAGAAGGTCTAACCTACTGAATATGAATTCAAGCAGAATTGAAGTTTGTAGTCCTCAGAGTATACAGTGCTCTCTTGCTACGCCAGCCATGCATTTTGGGATTGATACAGTGTTTTACAGTCTGTAACATTAGCAATTTTAAACAGGGCTAAAACAAAGAAGAAAGCTGTAATTCATTCTGAACAGAGCAGGCTGGGGTATCTTTGCACCAGGGTTGCTGTTCCTGTAGCTCTATGGGCATTCCTCCAGCTCCAGGAGAGCTTTCTCTCCACACAACAGCACAGGTAAGTGATATCCCAAACCCCCAGCTGCATTTTCCATCCTCAGTGCCCTGCTAACATTCCCCATTCACTCAGTGTCAGGACAGTATCATCCCTGTCAGGACAGTATCCTCCCTGTCTTCACAGCGGGGCTCAGCCCCAAGCTATTGCTCCCCCATCTCTGTAAGTCACTAGCCTGACCAGTGCCTGGAACTACACCAGATAGGATCAGTTTTGGACCTCTATGTCACATCCCCCAGTCTGTCAGACACCAGCCTGCTGCTCTCCAGCCTGCATGCCATTGGATTGTCCACTGGTGGCAAAGGGGCTCCAGCAGGCATTCATGCTCCTGTCAAAGCCCCACTCCTCTGACGTGCGGAAGGGTTGCCCAGCTGCTCAGTCCTGTCCGCAGTGCAGAGGGGCTGGCCCAGCACCGCTAGATGCCAACGTCCAGGTTTAGGAATGAGGTGTTGCTGTACAGCTCCGATGAGAGTGAGCTGTTCTCCAGGGTGCAGGTCCACCCTGGCAGCAGGGATGGAGCATGCTCCTCTCTTGAATCCTCACTCTCTGTGCTCCTAAAAGTGAAAAGAGAGAGATGTGCTATTTGCAGACTGCTTCCATTGCCAGTTTCACACCCACACAGCCTCTAGCAGTGACCCCAAAGATTTGCCATCTCCTCGGACAGTGCCAAAAGGGATGTGAGGCTAGACAAGCAGCAGGAACATAAGGTAACCTTACAACTCTTAAGGTCTGTGCTCTGGGAAACCACTTTGTACAGGACAGCCCATGTCAGCTGAAGGAGTCACCATTTCTACAAGGAGACTCAAGACTGCTAAGCTGCCCTGCTTCACACCAAAGGGGAGCAAAACACCTCCTCTATTACATACCATGATCATGGGCTCAGATCATGGGACATGAGACCCTTTTACTTTACCTTCTTTACTCACAGGGAAGGGCATGAGCTCAAAGTATGAGCCTCTCTGGGACTTCCCTATCTCACAGCCAAAAAGCAGAGGTACAGACCTAGCTGGCAGTCACACACAGACCCATGCTCACAAGACAGGCAGAAAGTGTACAGAAGTGCAGACAGCACCGAGGGTGAGGAAAACCTGGAGAAGGCGGCTGATGGAGCCAATAATGGAGCAAACATCAGTGCGTGGTCCTGAGAGGCTGGAGCAGTGGAGGCCCACGAAGATGTGTGCAGTGGGGGAGCGCTGGTGCAGAGTAAGTTTGGGTAAAGGAGGGAGCATAGGACAGACTGGGCAGGAAAAAAGGAGAATAAGAAGCTCCAAGGGATGGAAAAGCTGGGATGTGAGGGTGCTGAGGCGCTGGCACAGGGTGCCCAGAGAAGCTGTGGCTGCCCCATCCCTGGCAGTGTTCAAGGCCAGGTTGGACACAGGGGCTTGGAGCAAGCTGCTCCAGTGGAAGGGGTCCCTGCCCGTGGCAGGGCTTGGAGCTGGAGGAGATCTAAGGCCCCTCCAGCCCAAGCCAGGCTGTGGTTCTGTGGTTCTGTGTCAGCGGCGGGTGCCAGCACAGCAGGGTTTGTGCCCCTGCAGCTGGGCAGGGACTCACGGCGCAGCACGGAGCCTCCGGCGCAGCAGGTACTCGATGATGTCGGGGTCTGTCTGGAAGAGCCTCCTGAGGATGTGTTGCTGCATTTCAGGGGACACCTGGCCGGGACACACGGACATGCTCACGGCACCTCCTCCTCTGCGGGGCAGTGAGGGCAGCGAGGGGATGCCAGGTCCATCCCTGCCCACAGACACCCCGTGCTGGGGTGACTTCCCACACACCACCCAGGCCTGAGCTTTCCCCACACCAGTCCTGCTCCTTTGGCTCCCTGCAGACCTGACCATTGCTACAAAGCTTTTCTGGGAGCTGAAACGTCATGGTCACACAGACCTGCAGGGAGTGGACATTTCTGGTACTTCTTGGGCGTTTCCCGGGTCCTTTCCTAAAACCAGGGCCAGGAGGAATGCTCCATGTATGCTCCTGCTAAGCCAGGCGGCTGTGATGGGGCTTCCAGAGAGCTGCACAGCCCCCATGGGGCTGTCCCCAAGGAGAGCAGCCACTTCAGCTACATGACTACCTGGTGCCCACCTGCACTGCATCCCATGGGGACAGCTTCCCTCTTCCTGGGTCTCCCATTTCTTCCTCTTATTTCCCCCCTTCATTGGGACTTGGAGGGGGGGGGGGGGAGCGGGTATCAGTTCAGAGGAGCTGCTCCTGCACTTGCTGTTTCCCAGTTGTTCCCTGCCTCAAATGAGCTTGGTCAGATGTCACTGGGGTGGAAAGCGACAGAGAGGAGGGATCTGTTCATGGCACGACCCTCAGCTCTGCCTTTACAATGCAGTAACAAGCCATCCCAAATTAATATTTACAGCTGCCATGAGGAATGAATCCCGTTTTCACAAGCCAACTGGAGCAGGGCAGTGAATCTATCCTTCCTTCTGCTGCTATTAGAATTGTTCAGAGGGGAGGGACAGGTCTAGAGAAACTGCCCTGAGCAAGCCACACGTACCATGAACAGGGTCTGGTGATGCTCAATCAGCCTCTGCAGTACCAGTATGATGGCATCGCTGTCCTCATAGTTCACAGCAGCAGCGTCTTTCTCTCCAGGCCTCTCTTTCTGCAGGACGTTGGGACCAAAGATCGTGGCCAAGTTTGAAACTGTCATTTTATTCCCAGGAATCTGGCAGGCAGCCATGAAAAGAAATCACACATTAGAGATGCACCAGCGGGAGATGTCCCGGGATAGCCTCACCCCCCTGCTCAGGAACATGAGCTGCTGCGTGAGGCTAGGGTGTTAATACGGGTCCAGTTTTGGTCCTCCCTAAGCTTGTGGCAGAGCCAGCCTGAAGGCACACGCACATCCCCTCCTTGCATCAGAGCCTCCATCCTCACCTCCCTCACTTCCACAACCGCCACCGAAAGGCAACACCCACGATTCGTGTTATCACCTTATTATCATCTATGGGACAAAACCAGCGCCTCTGAGTCACAGCCTTAGGGCTCGCATCGGCAGAGCTACAACCTCCACACGCAACCTGGCGCCCCCAGCCCTGCCCCGCCCCGTCCCGGTCCCGGTCCCGCGCCGCGCCCTCCCCGCAGCCTCACCTCGCGTCCGTCGGGGCGGTGGGAGCCCTGGGCGTGCCGCGCCACCCGGGCCAGGAAGCGCAGGAGCCGCCGCAAGGTGTCGCTGTGGCACGGCGGCAGCAGGAACAGCAGCAGCTGCAGCGCCCCCAGCTGGGCCGTGCCCGCCATGGCTGCGCACAGAGCGGAGCCCGTCAGTGCCGCCCTGCAGGGACACGCGGGTGCCGCCGGCTGCCTCCCACCCGGGCAGGGATGGGCCCCGCCGCAAGCGCTGCGGTTGGTATTGCAACAGCCCCGCAGTCGCTGACTGCCCCAGGGCAGAGGGGTGCGTGTAACCCCGCTGTCAGCAAACAACGCCAAAGCACGGAGTGCAGCATCCGCACGTGCCCGAGCCAGCAGCACATCGCTAACCCAGCGGCTCTCAAGTGGTTTTGGTAAAGGAGGGTAAGGAAGGATGTGGGAGCCAAACAGAAACTGGGTAAGGAGATGGAACAAAAACCCTCTACAGGCCAGAAAACCTTAACAAGAGATCAGGCTCATTCCATAATGCAAATTCCATGTTTAGGACCCCAAGCAAAAGACATCAAAGGAAAGCCGTCACAGCCACTTCCAGCCAGGATGCAGTACTGTTCTGCTTTTCATCCCCATCTTCCTGACCTCCCTAAGGATACCCCATGCTGAGATATGCCCAGTCTCATGTCATACTTATCCTGAAGAAGCTCCATGCTGTGTGCCCACAACCAGCAGACACGTGTGCAGTCCCATGCCTTTGCTCTGGGGTGATTTCAGCAAGAATACGGTCAGTTGACACTCCTGCTTCACAGTGCAGGTGTGCTCTGTGCTCAGAAAACAGCTCGAGGGCAGAAGATTGCTTTGTACCTTCCACTCCATCCCTGCACACCCTTGTTCCCACCATCATGTGCCCTGCCTTGCCCCTGCCATGGCACAGCCTGGTGACAAGCCCACCAGTGTGCAGCTGCTCATTTCTGATGTGGAAGCAGGGATTCAAGGCGGGGATTAGGCCTTTGGATTAATGGCCATTGCTTGGACTTTCCCAATTCCCATTACCTGGACTACAAATGAACCGGTGTGGGTTAAGCAGTGGCCTCTGAAAAGGGAGAGTCTTCAACATGCCCATGACTTAGTCAGAGAAGAGTTTGAACAAGGGCATTTACAATTGTCTACCAGTCCCTGGAATACACCTATTTTTGTAATTAAGAAAAAAATCTGGAAAATTTCGTCTTTTACACGACTTGAGAGCTGTTAAGAAACAAATGGAACCAATAGGGGCCCTACAGCCTGGACTGCCTAATCCTGCTATGATTCCGAGGGAATGGCCCTTATTGGTTATTGATTTAAAAGATTGCTTTTTTAATATACCTCTCCATCCACAAGACATGAAGCGGTTTGCTTTTACATTGCCCTCACTCAATTGGGAAGGTCCGGATCAACGATTTGAATGGACTGTACTCCCCCAGGGCATGCGCAATAGCCCCACCTTGTGTCAAATATATGTGGATGCAGCCTTACAGCCTCTTCGACAAAAATGGACTCATGAAATTATATATCACTATGTGGATGACATCTTATTTACGCAGCAAACCCCATTTTCAGAGACGCAAATTATGGATATCCGGGACACGTTAGCGCAGGCTTCCCTTGTCATAGCTCCTGAGAAGATCCAGTTTACAGCTCCCTGGAAATATCTGGGGTGGACGATATCAGAACGGATTATAACACCTCAAAAGGTGCAACTCAGCACTGACATTCAAACTCTGAACGACGCACAGAAGCTGCTTGGGGATCTTCAGTGGCTCAAACCAATAGTGGGAATCCCTAATGAGCTCCTATCTGTCCTGCGTCCTTTGTTAAGAGGCACAGATCCAACTCGGCGTATACACCCGGATACAGAACACCGACTGTAGGTAGTTAGGGTCTGGCGATCGGAAGATGTCACGCTGTACGGAAAAATAAGACCCCCCTCTGAGTAGCCAATAGGGCCTAACCTAGGTCGTAAGCAGACAGACGTGACGTTGTAAACCTAGGCTATATAACACCGTGTTACTCGCCAATAAACGCCATTTGCCATCCACCACGTTGGTGTCAGTGAGCTGATGGCCCGAGCGGCCAGGGGTTGGCCGTTGTGTCGTTCCTGAACCAGGTCGCCACGCCAACAAAGGCAACAAGTGGTGCCGAAACCCGGGAATCGTCTGGACAGGTGAACGGCGGCCGGAGCGGCTGGACCAGCCCGGCGGGGAGGACGCTCCCAAGCAAACAAGGAGGATGGAAGCCCTTGTGAAGGTTGTATCTCAATTACATAAGCAGTGGGGTATTGATTGTAAGCCCAAAGATTTTGCTCTCGCAGTTGCGAGGCTTTTACAAACTGGGGTCATTGACCAGCCAGTGGATATTCTCCCCCCTGAGGTGTGGGATAAATGCACTGAAGTGTTAGCCGAGGAGACGATGTCCTCGGGTAGTGGGAAATACCTTAAGTCGTGGGGGAAAGTCGTACAGGCCCTGCGAAAGGCCATACAAGAGCAGGAGACCTGGACGGCAGCAAAGAACTGTTTGTTGGCTATCCCGAAATTGGGAGTCGGGGCAGCTACACAAACTCTGCACCCCCCAGACAGTGACGGCTCTACCGAGCCTAAAGATATGCAAGAAGGCGACACGCCTCCCCAATCCCTGAATCCCGACCCGCCTACGGAGGGACAGGAACGAGCAAAATCCTTTTGGGGAGGGCTGGTCGAAGAGGCCAGGGGCGCCACGGAGAAGGCGGAGTCCGAGGCAATTGGGGTTAGACCACCGCCCTATGCGCCCAAAAATGGCGCTGAGCGGAAAGAAGGAGGGCGGGGCGAAGATATCCCCTGCGGGAAGAAGGAGGAAGTGCTAGAACTAAAAAGTGCGTGCACATGGGGGGCGGAGGAGAAAGAGGAGAATCGAAAGGGGGAGGGACGCGCGAGCGAGGGGCGGACAGCCAATCAGAGCGGCCATCTGAAAAAATGCTGTTGTAGGGCAAACACCCCACCGAGCAGGGGGCGGGATAAGCCAAGAGGGCGGGGTGAGCCCAGAGGGCGGGAGCGGCCCGCCCGCAAGGGAAGCGGGCAGGGCCGGAGCCCAAAGAAAAGGCACGGGAAACCGGAAGTAACTAGTCAGTCGACTTCTGACTCGGACTCAGACACTAGCTGGGACGAGTGGTTTGCAACCGATTCAAACTCAGAGGAGGAGGAAACGGAGGTAAACAAAGCTAAGAGCCGAAGGACTCCCATCCGGACTAAAGAGGAACGGCGAGGGGAAGAAGTCCCTCTTACAGACTGGAAGGAAATAGAGCTTGCATGTGCCGACTGGGCCCCAGCAGTCAAACTGGCATTCCCGGTCCGGGTAACAGACGCGGGACAGAGGGTCTATTCGCCAATAAATCCTAAGGATGTCCAAGCAGTTGTTAAGGCAATTGCAGATAAAGGGCTTAATTCTGCCATGGTTTCCACCCTCATAGATGGTGTTTTTGGAAGAGACGATATGCTTCCGTTCGATATAAAACGGGAATGGAGATGGGGATGGGAACAAGGATAGAGGCTAGTCCTTACAGGGCGAGGGTATGCCGCTGTTAGAAAAAATGGCAGTTAGGTGGTGCCCACTTAAATCCATTAAACTAGACCTCCATAATAAAACTAATGAAAATTGTGAGTTTCTGTTCACAGGATTAGATCATCGAACGCCCTCGTAACTCGTACGCCCCAGTGACAAGAGAGGACGACAAGTCACTAACCCTTGAGTCTGTACCCAGGAGCTCCACACCAGCGGAACCCGAGCAACAGCGAAATAGCCCCCAAGGGAGGGGGCCGCGATGCCTTTGTCTGATTTTGATTTTGGGGTTTGTTACTGTAGGGCAAGTAGAATGACTGTGCTGGCATTACTCTTCAGACCCTGTATATTGAATCGCCTTGTGTCATTTGTCAAGAGCCGGCTAGAACAGGTTAACATCATGCTTGTAGAAAGCCACCAACTACTTTAAGAATGTATCTACTCAGTATTACCCCCGCTTATCCCAATTTGTCCCAATTTACAACCCGTCCCCTTAACTACACCTCATTAACCACTTACCCAAAGCCATTAACCACTAACCTGAAGTGCCTTCTACTGTAACATTTTATATGTATATGCGTACTTTTTTCTACTTTTCTACTTTTTTACTTTTTACATTAGCCTATTTAATTAAACATAGGGAGGGGGGAAATGTAGGTAGTTAGGGTCTGGCGATCGGAAGATGTCGCGCTGTACGGAAAGATAAGACCCCCCTCTGAGTAGCCAATAGGGCCTAACCTAGGTCGTAAGCAGACGGACGTGACATTGTAAACCTAGGCTGTATAACACCGTGTTACTCGCCAATAAACGCCATTTGCCATCCACCACGTTGGTGTCAGTGAGCTGATGGCCCGAGCGGCCAGGGGTTGGCCGTTGTGTCGTTCCTGAACCAGGTCGCCACGCCAACAAAGGCAACAACCGACAAGCCCTGCAAGAGATCTCAAAGTGTGTTACCCAAGGACAGGTTTTCCGCCGAGATCTGACTCTCTCTGTCGACTTAACTATTTGGAATGGCCCGGTTTACCTTCTTGGGGCTCTCACACAATTGAAAAAGAAAACGGGGGAGATATGGCTATTAGAGTGGATCTCCCCGCCATTACAACAAACAAAAACTCTTGTACAAAAAATCAAAAATATGGCAGCCTTGATTAAGAAAGGTCGCGAGCGCTTGACTCAGATAACGGGTCAAGAGCCTGCAGTAATCAGGATTCCTATGAAAAAGGATAGTTTTGAGTGGTATTTAAGAAATAGTCCTGATCTGCAGGAGGCCCTTTTGGGTGTAAGCAGTTTGACTGAAACAGATAAATTGAGGCCACCACCTATACAATGGATGGGAGGTTGGGATTGGATAGTTCGTCCACAGAAAGAGAGTCAACCTATCTCAGGGGCGATAACCGCCTTTACTGATGCCGGGAGGAAATCCCGAACTGCCGCAGTGACCTGGCAGGATAAAGGAGGGTGGAAACATCAGGTGCTAAAAGCAGGGGACTCGGACAGCCTACAAACAATGAAGCTCCTAGCCGTTGTATGGGCATTAATGAATCTGAAGGGACCATTAAATGTGGTAACAGATTCATTATACGTGGCAGGAGTGGCAGATAGAATTGAGGATGCTTATGTAAGAGAAGTGAAAAACCCTA